AGTTTTAAAGAAAATGGAAATGAAAAGCAAACTTGTAATTAACATCAGGAAGAGACAGTTAAAATTTATAGGGCATATAATGAGGAAATAAGGCTTGGAGAATCTTATGCTCACAGGACAGATAGAGGAAAATAATGCATATCATACTTAGTAAGTGAGTAAATTAATGGTGAAAAAGGATTCAGGAGAAAAGACAAAAAGGACAACAAATTGTAGAGAGCCATGATTGCCTACCTTCTGAGGGGACATGGCAAATAAAGAAGCTGACCGATAGAATCCACATACACATGCACTAAAAAATATTCCATTTCAAGGTTGCCCACTGTTGGGTTGGCAATGAGCAACTGAACAGAAAATGGTGGGAGGCTGGAAATTTTGGTGGATGATATAGGATTTTGAATATAAAAAGATATTTCAACATATACCACACACACACACAAAAAAAAAAAATTCAAAGGAGATACATAAAGAACCTGTATACCCACCACCAAAAAAAAAACAGGAGGCTAAATGGGAATAGCTGGGTCACATTTGTAGATAAAATATAAATATCCCCACAAACAAGCAATATTTTGGTATTTTCTATAAAGTTATCAATGGTCAAAGTATCAGCACTGTTGCTATGGTAATAGAGCTAAAGTATGCAGAGTCAAGCCACATGGCATAGACAGACTCTGTCACATATGCAAACTATGTTATAATGTCCTTGCTCATTTCTGTTGTTTATAGCAGTGTTTGGAAGGAAAGTGTGTAGAGTGTGGTCATCTGACAGCACAGAGGTTCCATCAGTGACTGTGGCTTGTGCAGCAGTTTTTAGGCAATGACAAAATTCCCCAGGTTCAAAAAGTACCATACTCCCTAGATCTTGCCCCTTGCAACTCTCCGCTTTCCAAAAATAAAATCGCACTTGAAAGGAACAAAATTTCAAGACATCAAGGAAATCCAAGAGAATGCAACAAAGCAATTGCTCACTATTCCAAAAAAGGAGTTCCAGGAATGCTTCCATCAATGGAAATAACACTGAGTGAAGTCTGTGGCTTCAGGAAGAGACTACTTCAAAGGAGATTAAATACTGAATTGTTAGGTGTTGTAGTTTTCTTTTTATAGCACCAGTCTTGATACTTTTTAATCAGACTTTGTACGAAGAATATTTTTGTTTTGACTTTTTGCACACACACAAGCATGTTTTTCATTTTACAAAGCATCTTGAATTTGCAAGATAGCAAATAGGGAAAACCTTTCAAAATTCAAGGGAGGTAAGTATAATACATAACAGTTCAATCAATGTCGTGACAAGTTTTCTCCCTTTATTAAACACATGACAAAGTTTTTACTTCGATCTCAATGGTAATTAGCTGTTTCCCTACAAGGAAACATTTGACATTCATTGACCGAATAACAGTACTACTTTCGGTTGAGATTTATAAAACCTTTCTCTTAAAACATTTTCTGAGGAAAACAGGTTTCTCAAGTCCAGTAACTGTTATTGCTCTTTCCGATATTGATGGGGGTTTCCTTCCAAACGTTCAATTTGAAGTTGTGTGGAATAACATGCTGATTATGTCATCTTTTTCATGATTCTTTCCTTTTTTTTTTTTCAACTTTTATAAAAGCAAATTTAAAACAAATCAGGTTTGTTCACTTATAGTTAATATTTTAATAAGAAAATTATATAATCAGACATTAGCTTCATTTTACTTAGGATCCTCTACGAAATGTAAACAAAAAGAGTATAGCATGATGAAAAAGACGCCGAACTTGACGAAAACAAAATTTTATCGTCTAATGTTCATATTATTATTAAAGAGGAAAGATCAAAGTATTTTGGGGGTATTTTTTTACATCTTTTAATCGTTCCTAGCACGTCCGAAATTTTCGTTAAAAATCTTTCTTTTTTTTTTGTCAAAAAAAAAAAAAAAAAAAAAAAAAAAAGAGAAAGAAGGACAGATAATCCATCATTTTTTCCATTTTATAAAAAAGATGAAAATCTGACTTTGATATTCTTTTAAAAATCAATTATCATTTTTTCAAAACTTATTTTAATAGAATCAGAAATTAAAATGTTTATTTATAATATTTTGAACCAAGCTTAACTTAGCTTCTGCGCCAAAAAATGTAATTTAAAAAGAAAACAAAGCAGGCCATAACCTTTCGCGTCATTTGACAGGTGATGAAAGACATTTTCATGACATTTAGATAACTTACAGGAGGATAATTCTTTCTACGGTTGGAAGGAAGTGAAATTATTTAGATTTAAGTGAACAAGTTATTTACCTCGTTACTTTTAAGGAAAACTTTCAGCACTCTAATTTTTTAATTTTTTTTTTTTGTACTTAGCTTTCATCTTTATGTTTACGATGCTTTATGGAAAATATATTAAAGAAATTAAAAAAATAAGACTGTTAAGAGTGAGATTAAATTTCATAAGAAAGGTATCTAATTAATTTATAGGTACCTTTCTTATGAAATTTTATCAGAAGTGTACATAATATACTATAATTTTATGTACATTTATTACATTTTACTGTGTTATTTGTATTTCCATTCATTTTATTATTAATTTTGATATTTCATTTATGGAAAAATGTCATAACTGAGATTAATATAAAAATAAGATCATATAAATTAAAGTTTAGCAGTAGTTAAATTTCATAAGATGATACTGATACTTATAGGTACCCTTCTCAGTTGAAATTGAAAAATTAAATTAACTTCTCTATACGTGTTTCACAAAAGTAAAGGCCTTAACAGCGGAGAACAATGCTGAACTCAAATAATGCAACTTAATTGTATTCTGGTTGATCTTCCGTACTTTATAATTACCCCTGATTATAAACACAAAATTACATTTCTTAATTACTGTGGATCTTCTGATTGGTCCAAATGATACAATTTTCAAAGCGCTAGACAATGACAATCTCATAAGGACACTTAGAAAAGTTGATGTGGCTTTTAACTAATTTTATAATATTTTAAAAAAAACTTAATGTAAAAATCTATTATAATTAAAGAAATAACAAATAATTGTATTAAAAGTTCAGTTTTCATTGAAAAAATTTTTTGCTTTCAGAAAATATTGTCCATATTCATAAAAACAACTAAAAACAAATAAAAGCATTTGAAATTAAATAGTATCTTTGTTTTATTGAGTTTTGTATGTTACAATTCAGAGCTGATTTTCAGGTACTGTAGATCCAATTAAAAAAAAAAAACCCCAAAAAACATGATTTGCATTCTTCAAAGCTTTGTGCTTTTAACTATTGTAATCACTAAAGTTGATGCGCTCGAATTTCTAGAGTTTTTCATAAAATTAGTTACGGGGGTGTTAATAAATATAAAAAAAACATTTCTGCCATGACTTTAATAAAAAAAAAAAACATATAATAATTTTGATCATCTGTGAATAGTTTCTAAAAGTTTCATTAACATCCGACAATTATTTTTGCAAGATTTTCCAAATTAATGTGTATAATACAAAAAAAACATGCTAAAAATTGTCTATGTTATTTACTAGTCCCGGTTGGTACAAAGAGAAACAAGGTTTTTTTTAATCAAAATTTAGAATGTTCTAAAAAGAAGGAAAAATTTAAAAAAAATAATTAAAAATAACTTTGGTCTTTCCTCTTCATAAAAACATAAGCATTTCGACGATAAAATTTTGTTTTCATAAAGTTTGCCGTCTTTTTCATCAGACTATGCTCTTTTTTTTAGCGATTTCGTGGAGGTACTTATATCTTGGTGTTGTAATTGTCTTTACTGACTGTGTAGGTGGTGTAATGGATATGGGCACAGAAAGTAGAATTAATGAATCAGGTTCATATGCCAGGCTAATCTGCTGCATTCACTTTTAGACAAATACCCTTGGGAAAGGCATTAATCACTTCTGCCCCAGCTATATGTTAAATAGACTAGGTTCTCTAGCTTTGGCTAGCAGCCCATTGAAGAGATCCATATTTAAAACCGTAGAAAAGGCAATAGGAAATTACTCTACTATATTTTTTCCAAAGAGTCATGATATTTCACAGAAGGAATTGTACTATCTTACAAAATTCAACCAATTTAAAATTAACTTATTTTAAAATAATTAATACTGATTATTAATTTTGACTACTTCAACTTACCATATTTTTCAGCTTACAAGACATACTTTTTTTTCCTAAAAAATACTCTGAAAAATACGTGTGCATCTTCTAAGACGAATGTAAGGCAACGCCCAGGCTCAAGTAAGCTTGGACGGTTACCTAATTGGCATGACTGATAGGGATGTAGATTTGTATGTTGAGTCATTACACTATAATGTTAACTATCTAATTCAGCCTTTTATAGGATGTAACCTCAGTACTTAGCTGTTACAAGTATTTCCAAGACTAGAAGCCTTCCTGGAGCCAAGCCACTAGCTTAAACATGCTTGGTCTATTAGTGGTGGGAGCCTTTCTGCTCTTGACTAGTATGTCATCGCCATACAAACAGAATCAGATGAGTGATTAATGTAAACAATATGTGGTGCCAGTATGAGGGACACATGGTGAATGTGTTATTGTATGAGAATGATTTTTTTTTTCTTAGAAATTTTTTCCAATATTTCTTGTAAGCCGGAAAATATGGTACATCTTATTTATATTGCTTTTTTGCATTGAAACACTCAAAATTATTTACTATTCTATGAACATTTAATTAGCATGGCTCAGACACAAAGCCAACATGATATCCACATAGGAAAGGTATGAAGCCATCTCTTTCTTTCCCTAGCTATCAGTTAAATAATAAAGCAAACTAGACTCTCTAGCTTTGGAGAAACAAAACTTTGACTTCAGAACTAGTTAGGTGTGGGGGTAGCCTGTAAAAACCTACTTGCTCCAGAAAACAGAACAGAAAAATATCTAATTTGGATATAGCCCCTATATGTCACCGGGGAGTTTTCCAAGTTAACAAGATGACAAGGTTATGATGCAAAAACTCAGAATGTCTTTTGAAAAATAATAATAATCAAATATACTTACTGAAAGCATACAAAGCAAGATCTAAGTTCTTTTTTCTTTCATATCTATTGATAGAGAGGAAAATAAATTTCTTGTTCTGAGGTATTATTTCATCTGATGGTGGCTGTTCACTTGCAGCATCCATTAAAGCAAAGTTTGGTGTTGGATATAACACTGCTGGTTCAATGTGAGATAATCTCTTGAAAGTTTCTCGAAAAACACCAGCTTAAAAAAAGAAAAAGAAAAAATATGTCAGACCTATAAATACCTAGATCAAATTCAAGATGTTTATTTTAACTTCTCTGCCATGCAACATCAACAAGTATTATCTATTTAAAAAACAAAATATCAAAATGCTTCTACCTTTCTGATAAACAGCATTAGGCAAAGTTTAATATACATACACACAAAAAATCTGTGTTAAAAGGACGGTTTTTCTCTTGACATTGCTATTACTGTATATGCTCTCAGCAATTGTCATTGTTTTTAAAAAGCTATTTTTAGAATTTTAATAAAACCCAAACATATGAAACTGGATTTATGTATTTTCTTTTTTCTCAAAAATTGACAATAAAAGCCTTGAACACCATTTTAGTAAATAATAAGTAATAATACTGTTTAACATTTTTGCTGGCATTCTCCAGAAAAAAGTATAAATCGAAGATACTCTCAAACTATTTTAATGAATTCATGTGGAGAAAGTAAATGAAAGAAATACTTGGAAAATCCATTTTTTTCAAAATTTATAATTACAGTTACCCATTGTTATTTGAGTATTTAAATTTTCTTATCCTATTGTTCAGACATTTTTATAAATTTATGAGCAAAGTTTAATCTTAATCTTTGGATCTGAAAAAAAAAAAAAAAGAAAAAGTGTATCAAAAGGATAGTTTTCCTCTTGATACAAGGAAAAGTCCTTTTGACACACCCTTTTTTTGAGATCTGGCAGTTAAACATTGCTAATTTATATAGAAAAAATATGTTTTCAGAGTTATTTCTTTGCAATATGGCAAATAATAAATATTGCATTAGAGTTGGTTTGTAGTGAGTACGAAATAATAACACCTTTTATCCACTCCCTTCAAATTCAGGCAAGTTGAGGAAAAAGATGAAAAGAAATTATGTCGATAGGATTAGACATGCACATGAAGGAAAGGGGATGCTGCAATTTAATTTTTTTTTATACATATGTTTTTTGGGTATATAGTCTAGCTGATTTTATTTAGTTTCTTTTTTATCATTTTTGTTAATAAATATTCCACATTGTGATAACAGATTTGTCAAGAAAGGTGAAAAGTAAGTACCTAAATGTAAATTTACTGTGGATGATCTAGCAATTAAAACACTTTCAATATATTTTTGTCTTATTAAATTGCTTTGTTTTTAATTAAAGTAGGCTCTTTTAAATCAAAATTATGATTGACTGATTTGATTTTTTCATGGCTTTTCAGGTTATTTAAAATCAGAAAACAATTTTTAGATTGTAAGAATTTTTACTCTTGAAGATAATGATTTTTACTAATACAAGTCCTACTAATCAACCCATAGCAGGGGGAGAAAAGGTGGATTCATACCTTTCCCAAGAGTATTTGCACGCAAGTGAATATGACGAACCTGACTGTAATTGGAACTTGACTCTCCAATTTACAGATCAGAGCCATTATTCATTACACCACCTGATATTCTCAAGTAGGTCTAGGTATTGACCAAGCTAAACATTGCTTAACTTCAGTGATCATACAAGAATCGGTGTTCAACAAAGTAACAGTTCTTGGGAAGAAGCTGTTTGAATGAAAATTCCTCCTTACTAATGGAATACAAAGGGAACATGGATGATTTGTTGCAGTGTACATGGCATGGCAGATTTTGGCAGTGAAAGCCTGAACTGATAGAACTAAGGAATATAGATTGTCAGTACATTTGCCATGGAAATTGGGAAGTAGCAAGAGGTTTGTGATATTTTGTCTGTAGGAAGAGATTTGTAGGGTGAAAAATAATCATCAACCATAAGGCTGCCTAGACACCTTTCAATTCTCAGTACTGAGAAAGTTACAAAGCAATAACAAACTTTTTAGAAGCAACTCCAAATGTTTTCCAAGACTATGGTCTTAGCAGTAATTTGCTTTAGAAATTAGCAATAACAGAAATTTACACAAGAACGTAAGGTATGTTATTCTCAGCTTTCCTCGGTCTCTAATACTTTCAACATGCCTTGTGACTGTTAAATTCTCTAAGTCTTCTTTCCTCATTTTGTGACCTAGTTAAATTTTAGAATACATTTTTGGAGGGAGGCGTTACTTTAGTGAACTTTCACTTTTGATGCTGTGATAAAAACGGGGAGGTAAAATAATTAAAGGGGGACAACTTTGTAAAAAATTAAATTAAAATTAAAACTTTTTTCTTCAGCTTTAACTTAAGTGTGTGTAATCTACAAAACAAATATGATTTTGAAACTTGGAAAATATTCGTTTTCAACCAAGAATACAATTTGTAAGTGCTTATTAATTAAATATCTATATCTGATTAACTATTTTTTTCACTAACGAAACAATTCTTAGATAATTTTTAAAAAGAATAAAAAGCATTTGTTGAAATTTGTTAGAAACACGTTTCCTTTTTTTAGTTTCTTTGAAGTTCAAAACTCTCTTGAAAGAGCGATGAATTAACTTTTTTTTTTCTTTTTTGTAAAATTGTTATATTATTTATTTGATGTTTACAGATTTCGTTCATAAAGTGTTTTCTGAAGAGTTAATGAACTGGGCAATTTAAAACTACTTCCGCAATTATGTAATAATTTACGTTTGGGAAAAAAGTAAAATTCACCATGTAAATTTCTCAGTACAATATATTTTCATGGAGTTTACACTTAAATTTAGAGAAATACAAATTAATTTATTTATAAAATATTCATCGAATGTTTGAAAAAAAAAAAATACCTCAATGAATACAATACAAGCCACAAGGGTTTTAATTTAAAATTGATTTTCTAAAAAAACTTCGTGTTGTTGCATTGATAACAAAAAAGTTTGCATTTTTATCCCAGAACTGAATCAATTTGCAAAACTTAAGTCTGTAAAAAAAAAAATAGTTACTTTTAATTCGTATCTTTGATTTCTGCTTTTAAGTTTGCTGTTTTGTTTTTAACCAAAAAAAATAAAAATAAAAATAAAAAAAGCAAATGACTTCTTTTTAAAGGGAAAAAAAAGTTAAGTAAAGTTACTTACCAGTAAAATTACTATTTACAAGAATACGGTCTGCCATTCCAGTTGTAATTTCTTCAAACCAATCTAAAGGTGCCCTGTAGATCGACTTGAGAGTTGTTTCTCTACCAGTCAACAACATATCGGGGTAATGACAATAAAAAAGAATTTTGGTATTGCGACCAAACCTTAAAAATGGAATGCATGCGGACACTTGATCAACAATAAGCAGATCATAGTCAATTCTACTCCAGAAGGCCACGTAGAGAGCCACCAGTACCATTCGCAAATAGGCGAAAAGAGCTTTAAAATGACCAAACATATTTGTGGGGAGCCAATCCCCAATGACGGTAACTTTTAACTGACCATTTTTAGTTTCTTCGAAGCAATGATTCGGATCATGATGTGCCGTCATAAACTGAACATCATGACCGCAGGATTTAAGAGCCATGGCAGCATCAACTACGGCTCGCTCTGCTCCACCGATGCCCAGATCCGGGTGAACAAATATAATATTCACCATGATTTACACTTTGTCCGAACATTAACACAAAACATTGACACGACTGCTTTTGCCAAATAATAGAGAGTTCTAACGCAAAGGGAAATCACTCTCAATTAAATACCGTCAAACAGTTAATGATTACTTCCCTTGGACTCGGAAACATTCACGAACTTAACACTCTATACATTAGAAGTGGCGTGCGTTCCTAAGAAGCAAGGCATTTCTTAACCTATAAAAATCTTTCTGTACAAAATTTAAAATATCTTTATCATTTATTATATTTTTTACTCGTGATATACATTAGCGACATTATAACAATAAAACAATCAAAATAAATAGGAGTTTGTCATAATAATATCATTTGAGTTGATGAAACTATTTATGATAACATCTCCAGAATATTAAAATCACTGCTAATTCTAAGATTTACACATTCTGAAATAATATCAAACGTATTATCTACTTGAAAGACAATTACAAAAACTAACATTTTTTCCTTCCTTTGCCTACTGTAAAATCAAATAAATATGAGTTTGTCATATTGATATAATTTCAGTTTATGAAACTATTTAGAAGTTATAACATCTACAAAATTAAAATCATTTCTTTATAAAAGCTTGAGAAACCCTAGGCTGCAGACTATACTAGCCTAAAGGATAATCCGGCTCCAGGCTGCAGCATATGCACTAATCTCCTTCCATAAAGATACATCACACTTCCAGACAAAATACAAAATAAATTTGGCAAAAGACTAGTATCAGTCAGTCACATAGCAATTGATTTTGTTTTGTTTTTAAGGTTTATCAAACTTTTTCAATTTAAAAATATTTTCTCTCTTTAAATAGTCAGAAAATATTTTTAGATTGTAAGAATTTTTTTTGGAGATAATAACAATTTACTGATACAAGTCCTACTAATTAACCCATAACTGAGGGAGAAGAGGTGAAGGCATACCTTTCCCAAGGGTATTTTTGTGTAAGTAAATATAATGACCCTGACTGTAATTGGAACTTTGTTCTCTGATTTTCAATTCCAAGTCTTTATCCATTACATCAGCTGCATATCCAAACTTAGAGCATCTGTTCTTCCCAAGCAGTCAACCATTAGGTACTGACCAGACTCAAGGTTGCTTAACTTTGTTGATCATATGAGAACTGATATGACTGCAAGCCCAAATCAGTTAGCAGTCTGTAGCAGCCACTGCTAATGCAGTGAAAGCCAGATTTTTACAGCAAAAGTTACTGATCAATTTGCTTGTGGACCAATTAATTCTAATTTTAAAATGTGATTTTAACATATTTTATTTTATTACTTCATAATTATATGTAAAATTAATGAAAATTATTAATTTTCATGTGAGATCTTAATAGTGTTATTTATGTAGCATATTTTTTTAAGATGTGCCACTGCATGATATCTACATACCATCTTACATATGGTGTATGATACATTTAAAAAAGATAACTATTAAATAAAGCTTCATCCACTATGAAAAAATGAAAGAAGTAAAGGAATGATGGTAATACAATTCAACACAGCAAGTCTTTCTGTCTATGACTTTCTTTCATATTCATTCCTTCCTCCTGGTAGGCTAAGTTTAATAAATAAAATAAAATAAAAATATTTCTTAAATCTCCTGAAAAGTATCACATACTTATCATCTCCTTAACAACTTGTTAACATTAACACCAGCTTTCTTAAAGGTAGGTTGATCAGCTAACTTTGTTTCTGAAATCAAATACTTGGATGAGCAAAACAAAAGATCAAAGACCCTGTACCAAAGTGACAGTCAATCATACTCACACTCAATGCCTAATTATTGACTTCAATATAAACCCAGAAAAGAGGAATTCAAAGGGCAGTTCTCTTAACCCTTTCACCAGAAAGCAGGACAGGCTGGTTCACTCCTCTAACCACCAAAGAACTAATCAGGATGACTGCCTACTCTAAAAAAGGATGAGTCTTGCTCTCTCTCTGTTTCAACATACAAATTGACTGATCAGGAGATTCAAGGTTTTGAGGAGCGTGGAGCCACCTCTTAATTGCTGTCATCCCAGGTCCACACTACCCAGGGTGGTAGCACCTGTTAGGGTCCCAGCTATGAACAAATAGTGAACCCCCCAAACAAAAATTATCAGTATATTTTTATAGTAAAATGACCCTCAATACATTTTTATAGCAAAATGACAGTCATTGAAACACTAAAAAAATATAAAAATACATTTTTATAGTAAAATTACCACCAATACATTTTATAATCTATAAAATATATATCTAAAAACATACCTTTACTCTGGAAGTATAAAATTATATACAAAATATCTGTAATTGAAAGCATAAAATTACATAAAAATATTTAGATTTCAGCATTTAGTAACCCATAGAGGCCTATATGTCACCATACAAAATCAATCAACTAAACAACCACCATGAAAAACTCTTTCATGACATTAATCCATATAATATCCTACAAGAAATCAAACTGTATTCCAAAATATAACTTCTACAGAACTACTACATAAAACACACATATAACTGGCTCTAGTAATCATGTTCATACAAATATGTATATGCACAAAACCTGAGTATCATCTACCATGTATTCAATTGTGAAAGCAAAATAACATATATCATATTTTATTACTTCAAAGCCACCAAGAAAATTAAATTTTGGCATTAAATGACCCTAAGGAGTTGATATGTCATTTGTAGTCAGTTTCTTCTTGCTTGGAATAAAGTTCCCTAATTCACTTTTTTCACCAAACAGCATAGCATAAGTCAAACAATCCAATACCCATATCTCCTGTTTGTTACCAGAGTTGCACCACTCTGTCATCTCATCAAGCACTTTTTGTAGTTTGAGTGACAGATAAAATTTGCATAGGTACAAAAAAGAGTCTCACAAAAGTATCTGATTCCATAATCTATCATTTCTTAAATATATGACTCGTAAAGCTGCCATTTTCTTTTTGGGATACTTTACACACAAGACATGTCTGAATGCATTTTCTGCCAGGAGGTAAGCCATTTTCTCTTGTGTTACACCATTAAACAAATAAATCAATCAATCTTGGAGAAAGATAGTGTTTTCCTATCACTGTCTCCATAGTTTTGAATTGTACTTCTCCTAGACTGGTTGCCAACCAAAGTTAGAGAAGTCTCTTCTGCTTTTAACTTGTATAAAATTCAGTTGTCGAGGTTTTTTATATTAAAATTGGGAGATATATATATAAATTAGTATTTCTCAAACTTTTTTTACCCTTGTTGAACTCTTGAAGTAGTTTCATGGCTTAGAGAACCCCAGTATAAAAATTACTCTATACAGCTATTAATGTAGGAAATTCACTCATCCAGGTTTTTTTTATATTAAAAATCTGAACATTTGAATTTCAAACAATAATAAAATGAAAATAAAGAAAACATGGGTCTTTGTGTTAAATAACTCAAACATATTTACAAGCATAGTATATGAATTCAAAAGAGTCAAAAATGAGTAAGATAAGTCTTTAGTTTAGTTAAAGTTTTTGTGTAGTTGATATACAGAAAAATTTTAGAAAAGAAAAAGTTTAGAAAAGACTTTTAAATAGTTGGTCTGCAGAAAAAAAACTGTGGTTGAGAAAGGATTTTTATCATTAGCAAAGGTTCACTGACTATCTTTGTTGTTAGAAATGGTTTGTTTGAATTCATTGACTCATGACTGTCAACAAATATTCATTGACTGTCCAAGCTGTAGCTGATTCATTTAAAGTCACCCTGTTTCTTTTAGCACATGGTGGTGGGGAACTATGTAGCCATGTCTGAACAACTTGGAGACAGCCACATCTCTGTTCTCCAAATCTGTGGGTTTTTATAAGAAATTTTCCCCAAACATAGGTGTTATGGTGACCTATCTACATTAGAATGAACTCTTCCTCCTTCATAAATACTAACCTGTGAGACTTCCTAAGCAGAGGCAGTTGGGATGCAGTGTAACATGACAGTTCAGACGGTTACTTCTATCTGCTGACTAATAACACTCTTATTTTGTATATATGTTCTGTTATTTCAATACACTTGTCAAACCTACCTTCTTCTTTCTGTGTCTTTCTTTCTGGCCCCTAACAGGCCGCAACAATTTGGCAAAAGGATTTGCAAGAACCATCGGGATTAAAAAGGAACTCTCCTAAAACATGGGCAAACGAGATTTGTGGATACTTTGAAGAGAGCTTTGAAAAAAACTAGGGCTACACCAACTAAAAAAGCCTTTCAACAATTTCTTCAAGTATACAGAATTACACCTAATAACAAAACACCAGCTTGACAATCTCCAGCCGAGGTGATGTTCGCAAGTTGGATATAGTCCATTTACGATAAATTACTCCTGAAACAGACAAAGCCAGGAAGAACAAGCATTGTACCTCCAAGACAATATAACCCTGGAGAAAAATTTTTTCAGAATTTTCAAAGACAACAAATCTTTTTGGGAGATGGGTATGATTGAAAAAAGTGTTGGGAACATGGTGTATATTATAAAGGGTCCACAATTTAAGTGTAAAAGGTCTAACTGATGAAGCTGATAGCAAGCTTCCTGAGGAAACAGTTATGGATGTCATATACAACACTTTTGATATTCTGACCCCTCTAGTGGCCCCCAAAAT